ATTCATTTTACTTTGTTCCTGCTGTATTTAGCATTGTTGTGGCCTCACCTGGAGCATTGTGTGCAATTCTCTGACAATTCAAAAAGAATGTTAAGGTACTTGAATGTGTCCAGGGTAGGGCAACAAAAGCAGTGAAAGGGCTGGAAGGACGGCCTGTAAGGAGTGACTGAGGACACTGGGCTTGTCTAGTTTGGAGAAAAGGAGGCTGAGGGGTGACCATGCGCTCTACATCTCCTGAGGAGGGAAAGTGAAGAGGGAGGTGCTGGACTCTTTTCCCTGGTATCCAGTGATAGGAAGCATGGGAATGGCTGAAAGTTGCATCAAACTTGACATTAGGAGGCATTTCTTTATTGAAAGGGTGGAACAGGAACAGGCTTCCTGGATAGGTAGTCAATGCCCCAACCCTGTAAGTGTTTAAGAAGCATTTGGACAATGCCCTTAATAACATGTCTTAACTTGGTCAGCCCTGAAGTGGTCATGCAGTTGGACTAGATGATCATTGCAGGTCCCTTCCAACTATTCTATTCTATATTTCACGTATCATATTTCCAGATATCTTACATCTTGTGGTTTGTTGTGTGTGGGTTGCTTTCTTTTTTTTTCTTCTTTTTTCCCCATACCACTAGTAAAAAAGGTTACTCATCTTTGCAGTTAATATAATTTTACACCAAGGGGAATTAAATTCTTGGGGGTAAAATTGGATGTGGGCTAATGGCAGGTGGGCAATATTGCTAGAGGGTTAAGGAGAAAAGGTTTTGAAATGATTCAAAGTAAATCTCGTCTAGGGAGAAAGTGTCTCCTTAGGGAGAAACATGGTGCACTATAAAGATGAGAAAAGATGTTCAACAAGCTTAGAGAACATGTAACTGAGAAGAAGAATAGAAAATGAGATGGTCTGAAAAAGCCTGCTCGCCTCTGTTTTTCTGTAAATGAATTAAGCAACTTCTCAATTTACGTGAAAAGTTATTCTCCTTTATAAACACATCTGTATAACTAAGGTCTGTTCTTAGCAGAATGAGAGAGAAGAAGTGAAATGAGTTGAGAATTCTGTATTCGAACATTTGACAACTGATACAATAACAGTACATTTCACCCGAGTTTAGAAGACAAGACATCAGTCTTGGTGATCTATAACAGAAATTTACAAACTGAGATGGCTGGCATGCAGTAGAATATATTTCAGGTTTGAAATTTTGATACAGAAGGGTAAAATTTGTTCAAGAATAGATGACAGGCAGGAATAGGGGGAGATTGTTTAAAGATACCCTCGGGTCCTAAGTCCACAATACTGTAGAATACATCTGCTTGGAGCAACGGTGTAATTATAAAAAGCACAGAGTATTCTTATTATGATTAGCATTGCTGTGCATCAAGATCCAAAACAAACAACTAAACCATGAAAATGAAGTGGACAGGGCTTTTTCTTCCTGTCCTTGAGGTACACAAGCTCACATTTATCCCAATTTAGATATTATTCTACATTTTGAAGTACATTTATCCTGGTTCCTTAGACTCACTTAACATCTAAATCATCCACCTGTTCCTAACAGCTACTTTCCTAACTTGGAACATGATTAAAATTGGGTAGAATAAATTCAGGTTGTAATAAGAGGTTGTGGGGTTTTTGTTTGTTTGTTTGGTTTTTGGTTTTGTTTTATTTTTTTAATTCAGACCAGTCAACTGAAT